GCTTTAGAGTAATTTTATAAATTATATAGGGTGCTATATAAATGTTGTATATTATTATTATGTTGCGACTGTACCTGTACATTCATTCCTCGATGTCTTATTACACTACCATTTCACTCGATTTATTTAAGGGACAGCTTTGAACAGTTTGGCTATATGCTGACAAACAAACCATTGGTCTGACTATAACTGCATTACACCAGAGTGGTATATATTATATATACGTCTCTGATTACACTAGTTGAAGGGAGGTAACTGTTGATAAGAATGGATACGATTCTATACGAAATACATGTAGTCGATTTTAGGAAACTACTACCTTTTTGTGAAACCACTAAATGTTTCCTATGTGAATCATTTTAACAGAATTCAATATGGGCAAAGCAGCAGTCTTTATACTACATGTACCTGTTTTGTGGGTACATTTGATCAGTGTATTTCACACTATTTGCCTTAAATTGCGTTAAGCATCAATCAATATCTCAAGAATCATGCAAACATTTATTTGATTATTTTTAACATACATGTAGATCAAAACATAAATCAATTAATCTTCTTGAATACTGATTTTTGAAAGTAATCTTCAGTATTCAACTTTTCTTTTGAATATTTTAACTGAATTAAATTCACCATTATCAAAAATACCTCGATCCTCTGATAAAGTATTAATAATCGTGTTTCTCTTGTGTTAATATTGACTAAAAGCTATGAAGCATTAATATTCAATCGGCACCAAAATCAAACTTAGTTTGGTCAGCTGTAAAGGATAGTTTTTGAATATCTACAATAAAACATTATTCCTGAGGAAAGGATGTAATGAGCAGTACTTGTTATACAAGTAAAAGACACTTTATACAACTAGTTGATGGTCCAATATTGACGTATGTAAATATCTATCAAAAGTCTACATTATGATTGAATCTATGACTACATATTGTATCTATTAAAATTTGACGATTATCATTAAATCAGAGCACTACAGAATACATTAGATTCTGGATTACAAATTACAAATCATACCAAGATTGATACTGGTAACCAATATACAAAAAATCCTGTTTAATCTGTATGTTTCAATTCTTACAATGCAGCCATTTGTCATCTAGTAAAATATTATCTCTGATAATTAGATACCACAGTAATGTATTTGTTTATGTAATGCCAATGAAACTATACTATCTCAGTCATGTAATATTGATTCAATGCAACTCAGTATTATTAAGTGTGTTGCCAAGATGCAAAAGGACAAATGTAATTTTTGGAGAGTATAATACTATGAATGCTATTATAATTAGTTACGGTACACTCATATTATGGACATGCATTGTGTATGTAAATATTTAATGTAATAATACCACAGATACCATAAAACCATGTATTAAAATGCATTTATTTTGTCTTCTTCCAAATATAATTCAATACAAACAAATCTAATGATGAAAAACCTTGAAATGCATTCCCTAATAGTGCAGCAAATAATATCGTCATTTCCACTTGAGTTATGCTAATTTTACAGTTGGAACAACATTTTTATAGTCAAAAGTTGTGAAAAATCTGAAACATACAAAATGAAGTATTTCCTAAATTTTCAATGACAATCATAAAGTTTGTATACATACATAATTAAATGGTATCAAAAGCCATATCTGTCAAATATCATACTCCACACAAAAATGTGGCCAGGCAAAGACAGCTACAGAGTAGCATGTTACTGGATGTTCCTTGGTGTGAAGTAAAGAAGGCAACAATTAACTACAGGAAGTAACAAATAAGAACTGGAATGTACAAAGAACTACAACCTCTGATGTACTCCAAAAGTATCAAAACTTATGTTTCAACATATCAAGTCATAAAATAATTGTACCCTTGGAATATTGGAAATCTACTAAACAAGTAAATCTGAGTTCTGACTTGTCATTTTCTCATTCTAAATAAATTGTTAATGAATGTTCTATATGGAGCAAAACTACATCAAAATTTCAGAATGATATGTTAATTTTTAATAAATATCATACATATGTAAAATGCAAACTATCTTTTTCAATCAATTTCACAAGTGTATCAGCCGACACATTGAACCGGTTCCATATTTCTGTACAAGTATTACCTGTGAGTATTTCATTGTATAAAAAACTCAATTTACTCATTGACTAATGTTTAGAAACAAATTCATTTTGAACTTTAAGTTCAATGTACATAATTACTGTAAAGTGTTCCAAGAAAGTTAATAAGTATCAATGAGACGACTTTCATGTAGAACCTTAACAAAACCTCCTTGTCCAGGACAACCTAATAAAACGCACACAAATCTAGGTAAGTTAACATGATTCAATGTATCACAGTCAGAAAATTAAAACACACGCTATAAAAAACATTATGCCACATGTATCGTCACACAGATATGAAATTGCCCATACAAACTCGCCTATATTCACTCATAGCCTGGGGATTACTCCCCTTGTATTGTGTTCTCTGTATAAACTTTTCAATGAACCAAGATGTTCCTCAATTACACATTTAATACAATAAAAAATATTTTCAGATATAAGTTCTTTTCACATTACAAAAACATGAAAGAGTTTACAATTTTTGCCCAATGGTATGCTAAACATTAATCGTCTGTAAAAAAAACTTTTCCTATCATGTTTTAAAGTATTCACATTATTGTCCCGTTAAAATAATTTACCTAGGCCCTGCCATATATCAATCAAAATGTTCCCTGTTTGAAATTCATTTCCCTGGTCTGCAAGGATAACCATCCAAAACATTTTGTTCATGGGAGGATTGACAGTTTCAGCTCCAAGTCACAAATTCACAAAATCATCCATTGCCAGCAATTATAATTTGTTCAACAAACAATTACCACCACACTGTTCCTATGTAAACTGATCCCATTATGTGTCCTAGAGTTTAATCACAGAGATGTCTCAATGCCTGTATCAGCTCTGCTCCTCGCCCTGCAGGAACTTGAGAGCGGAGGAAAAGTCTTTCTTGGCATAGCCACTACTGGTCATGGCCCTGTAGATCTGATGAGCAAGGCCCCCCAAAGGAATGGCAGATTTGGTCACTGTTGCTGCATTCTGGGCCAATCCTAAATCCTATTTTGAAAGAAGAAAAAAATAATATCTACAACGTCAAAACTTTTAATGCTTTAGCGGGTGTAATTCTGGTTTCTTCAAATGCAGTCAAATCTTTCCCGACCAGATTTATAATAGTCACAATTTTTTCCAAAATTGGAATAACTGCAACAATCGCTAAATCTTATGCATAATTAACTTTATAACCCTTTCACCACTGTAGATCATAATAGACTCAACCAGATCAATGCATGGTAGAGTTTACTCAAGTAACATAATGGTGAAAGGGTAAATATTAATATCCCGATTTTGGTTGTTGAAAAAGCCTTCATTTCAAATAAAAGTTTTTTCTATTTAAAATATTACATACACTGTTGCTCTGATGGCCACACAGCAGTTTATGGAATAGCCAGCATGGATAAATATCACAAATATCAAGTTAGCTTTGCCATTACCAAATAACCCCAAACAATTTCTACATGTAATTAGAATATTTGCAATTTTAGATATGTTGCAATTGTGTTGACTGGTCCAAAATTGTAGCACTGTAATGTTTACCAATTATGCAAATTATTGCAATACTGGTCACACTGAAGGAAAGCATGACGTTATATAGCACACATTTTGTTGCTTTATGACCTGAGTGATTGAGTGACATCATCAATAGACTCCAACACTGACTAAATGGATGGTAAACTGCCTTTCAATTTTACCTTGAAATGTTACTTCTAGAGACAGTGTGTAACATAATTTATTTGAGAACATAAATTTGTTGGAACCTCCGAGCAAACTGTTGAGACTTTTGGTCAAAAAGAACATTTGTTGCCCTAAAACCAAGTCAACAACTGTACAATATTAATGTATATGGCAAAGCAAACAGATGTGTTACAAATCTTCAAATATTTTTTTCTAAAATATTACCTTTGTCATTAGGGCGGTACCGAAGCCCCCTTGATAGTTGTTGCTAGAGGGCACACCTTCTAGTACACCTGGGTAGGGATTGTACACCTCACTGGACCAACAGCGACCAGAACTCATGTTCAGAATTTTAGCTAGCATCTTAGGATCCAGACCAAGTCTATAAGAATGAAATCATGCAAATTGATGTTAGTAAAGTGAATGTCAATGTACAGTTTCATAAACCATATCCGATTTACCTTAAGAAGGAGCGAATTTAACAATATCATAGACATTACATAGTCAGACACTAAATCTACTTGACCCATAGAAATACACTGTACTCCTCAAATTTGCATCCTAGATTTTGGCATGAAGTAATCTTTAAAACACTTGATACATGTATGTATCTGTTATATTTGTCTTACAATTTTAAGCTGAGTAAGTACTTAACTTTTTTAATCAAGCTCAGCTGATGCCATTAGCGAAACCTTTTTCTAATTTGCCGTCAGACGCTGTCATTATTTTTTTTTGATATAGCTTGAACATATATAGTGGAAGCAACTCTGATTACCCGACAATATCATAAAATAATAGAAA